TATATATATATATATATATATATATATATAAAAGGTTGGAAAACGAGTTAATTCTATCAAACAACACATTTGGATGGAAAATTTCATTTTCCATGGAAAAGGCTTATAGCAAACAGGCCCTAACCGATGCAAATGCAATGTAAAGATTTTAAGCTATAAATGTTTAAATATCTAAATTCAGTAAAACGATTTATATTGATACTAATAATTTTCTGTTTTCAAGCTTAACTAAACATAAAAATTTGCATCAACTAGTTAATTTTCGATATGAATAAAAAAAAAAATCCATTTGTTTTATGTTTTGAGGGGTCGAAAATGCAAACTTGAAATGGATGAAAAGACCTCAAGCCTCTTATTACAGTAGCTGCGGTAAGACGGCGAGGGGGAGCGTAAAGGGCACGTAGGCGTGCGGGCTTTGTGGGGCCTAATCTTTCATTCTTCCCTTATACTTTGTGCCTCGAGTCTGCCGACTCCTGACGAAGACCGTAAGTTGTTACTCTCAACTAGTTATGAGTCTTGGTTTCTGAGTTCTAGTTCAAGGCAACACAAGAAGAAATAACCATTCCAATCAGAGCGGATTACTTAGATTCACTCCGCATGGTTCGGGTGGTTGAGGCACCGGGGGGAATGGACCGCCAATGAATCCTCCTTCCAACTCTAATTATTCCCCCATTCCGTGGATTGCTTCCAACATCAAAACCCGTGGAGGACCCACCCTCTTCCACTATTCCAATCCTACTGAAATGAATAGTCAATTGTGAAAAGGAATACTGAAGAAAGCCTTTCTCCCTTCTACTGACTTTTGCCCTTTTCCCTAGCCTGGGAGAACTAGGCAGAAGAAAAAAGATAAAGAACCCTATGCCAAACAGGAACCGATTAATGTAGCATACAAAAGAAAGTGGCTCGGAACTTGTTGACTCAGGCAACAAAGGCTTGAACTCTTCCTGCCAAAAACAAGGGACCAATCAGCTTTCTGAACTACAGTACAGGACGGAAAGTGAGCTTTGATAATCCTGAGTACCAACTCGAGAACTTCATGCCGTCATAAGAGTCTCAAGATATACTCCACAACGGGAAGCTTTGCTTCGATTGCTCACTATCAACCACTTAATCTTTCTCAGACATCAGCTCCAATGACAATACAATGAATTTCCTGTCCTGCGCATCTCCTACCCACATTGGAATCTCCTGTCATCTCAGATTATATCTATGAAATTCAAAGTATCCATTTGTCTGAGTTCATAAATAACACCATAATGATCTAATTATGTCTTGACACATTATGGTGAAATATTAGGGGAAAAAATGTTTATTTTGTCTAAAGCACAAGCTACTGTTTAAAATAAAATAAAATATAACCTGGTACTCAATTTAATAGCTAGAATCAATTAGAACTTGAATACAGCCAGACTTTATTCGACCGGTTCCGATAACTTTTGCCCATCCCTAAAAAATGGTAATATGTGGATAACATCCTAAGATTATTATAAGCATTTCTCCAGAACTTCAGAATCTTTGCTAAAACAAAGATGACTTTATATTGAATGATATCATTTCTGTTAGCTAGAGAATATTGATATGCTTTCTTCCTGTTTCCCAGCATCAACTGCATTGCACATACTTGATCACAGTGAGTAGACATTTACATTGAGGGGACAGTGGAACTCTAGCGAGTCACATATAATCATGTTCAGAGTTAAAATTCGAGCAATCATAGGGCTAAATTTCTATTTCTTCTGATCAATAAATATTTTGCTGACATTATTTGAATTGCAAGAGAAAAATATCAACCAAAACCCACAAAGTTCAAGGTACAAAATATTCCCCAAGAATTTGTGTGGAATGGTGCAATTGTTTCCCTTGTTTCAATTGCACCATACAATATATTCTGTTTGAAAAAGAAATAAGTTTCAAGAAAAGAAATCCTCAAAATGCATATCGATAGATAGCATCAGCAACTCCGTCTTCATCATTGTTAATACCAATCACATTTGCTACAGCTTTAGCCTTCTCTGATCCGTTACTCAAAGCCACCCCAAGAGAAGCCAGGTCGAGCATCTCAACATCATTTTCCCCGTCACCAATTGCCATGACCTTGTAGCCAATAGGAAAATTTGGTTCAAATATAAATAGACCATATGTCTAGCAACAATATTATCAATGAACTAGCAGCCCTATTCCTTAAATACGCAAACTAATGGTTATCCTATTTATTGCTTGTTTGGGAGAAATTATAATGGAATTATATTTAAGAGTAATGAGTCCCATGAAATATGACGAGAATAAGTTGGTAGTAATCGCGATGTGTGGTTAAAATTAATGTTTGACTTGACTTCAAATAATGAGATTATAATTTTATCCAAACATGCACTTACTAATTTCATTTACTTCTACAGCTAAAGGTTGGAAAAGCCAAAAAAGACTTGGCTGAAATGGTTGTATGTGAGAGGGTAGATACAATTACTTGCAAATTTTGAACTCTTAAGCAAATTGTGTGGGTAAGATTGAGAAGCATGTTTGACTAAGCTTAGAAGTTACTATTAAGTGACTTCTTCTGCCAAACATGTTTCAGCTTTCCTAGCAGTTACCATTCTGGGGAGAGTTTGAGGTCCCGACTTGGTGCTTTTCTTGTTTGTAGTGCGTATAAGTTGGGAATCATACTGAATGTGTAAATAGTAAGTGGCTAGTAAGTTGGAGGTCCTAGTGGATAAAAAGTATGTTTGACCAACTAAAATTATAATTTAAGTTTTGTCAAACATGATTGTAATTTTCAAAGAAGTAATTTTACATTTTTCCTTTAAACAAGATCTGCTAAGAGCCTGAGACATACCTCCTTTGGAGTAATGCCCAGATGATCAAGAAGCATTCTTACGCCACTCCCTTTTGATGTCCCAGAAGGTACAATTTCAAGCATATCTGGTACAGCTTGGACAACACACGCATGATCCCCAGTTGCTTCAGCCCAATATGGCCGCAGAATGGTAGAAACTCCCCCAGCAGTGTCTAAGAAGATCAGTTTCTACAATTTCAAATGGCAAGCCAAAATAAGAAAAACTGAACGAAAAACAGCTATAAACCATGTCTATTTGAAGAGAGAGAAAAATACAGAGCATGTTTGAGCCTCATTTTTAACCTAAAAATGCATTTTGGAACAATAAATTGATGGAAAATGTGTGGTTAAAAAATAAGGAAAAGTTTTGGATTTGCGTGTAATATTATTTTATTAAAGAATGTGTAATTAAAAAGAAGAAAGAAAAGTGTATTTTAGAGAGAATGGGGATCAAACAAGGGCACAGTTCCCGTCATCATATGATAATTAAGATTAATGACATATCAAAAGAGGAGGATCCACGAAGGAATTATGGCCTCGAGGAATAGCAGGTCATCTGCAGAGTAAGATTAAGATACAGTTGGCAGTTGGTATTTTTGTTGGGTAAAGCCAAGTAAAATATATCCAGAGTGATATTTTTGCCCCCTCATTCTGAAAGTATTTCTGAATGAGGAATAACATGACAACATAATCCATGATGCAATAGAGATCAATCATAACTATAAGAAAATATAGTTAAGCAGATCAAGAGTTGAGACTAAATACAGAAGCTTAATTTCCCTCTTCTCATCTCCAATAATGAGAAGTCAGGCTATAAATGACCATCACTAATCCATCGGTTTTCATATTCCAATAACAGCTTATAAGTCCAGTAAAGTTTTTGGACATGCATCAAGCATTAAAAATAAACGAGCATATCAATAAGGATTTAGGTTGAAGTAATCATGCAACAAATGTGCTACAACGCAAGTCTCAGTCAAGTAGTTAAGAACATGTACTGAAGGCTATGAACATCCAGGTAATACAGATTAGGCAGCATTTCATCCATCTTGAGCATGTTTGATTAGGTTAACTTTGAAGTAACCCTTTTTTCTTTTTTTTTTTTGCAAAACATGTTTGAGATTTTTTTTTCTTACTTTTAAAGAAAGGTACTTTTACATTTTTCTAAAGTTTAGCAAAAAATACTCATAGTTCTTCATCCTCCCACACATACTCCTAATATCTAATGCCAGCAATGATCAATGACCATTTGTGCTGAAAACAATGAATCTGACAGAGTTCAGAAAACACCTGTATATCTACGCCAGCCAAGAGCTGCTCAACTGAAGGTATAATCTCTGCCTGTCAAAAGTCCATGGCAAACACATTTTCAAGGAATCCGAAGTTGGCATATTCAAAGAAATGAGTGAGACAATTGATTAATGAGACACCTTTGGCTCATGATATACAGTATGAAGTGAGTCCACAAGAGGGTGTTCAAACAATGTTAAGCAACGATCCTCACTGAAGGCAATAAGAGGAACTTCATGCTTGAGAGAGTAAAGAAGTGCCTGCAATATAGAGAGTAAAGCTACTTAAGCTTCTTCACTTGGCAGAGATCAAATATAATTTGATGATTTTCAGTGTCAAGTGTTCTCAACTCTACATTATGATCAGCTTAATATCAAATACGTAAAAGCATGCTTACGTTCTTGAAAAATCAGTCTAAACATGACTAAGACAGGTAATATTACAAGCACAAGGCAAAAGGTACTTACTTCTCTACAAACATTTGGATCTAAATTCCTTCTAAATATTTCCCGACCTTGTCTGCCATATACAAGTAATCCCTGGAACAATTATTGAAGTGAAAAAATATGAGACAATGTATCATGACAAAGAAATAATGCAGCATTGAATCTTGATGCTTACGATCTGAAGAAGAGAGAATGTCTACCATCAAAATCCTGGTATCTGACTAACAGCATATAAATATCTCTCTACTCTCCTCATCAGTTGTATCTGACTAACTGTATACAAATATCTCCCTCTATGCTCCTCATCAGTTTATCCCGTTCTTAATCTTTCCTACCATAGCATCAAAATTTATATGTTCCCAAATCTCCTATTTTTAAGAATAATGCTTTAGTGCAATCATGTAAACAATAATCCTTCTTTATTCTGAAGAAAAGAATAGCGTAAATATCCTCCGAGACTTCTGCAGAATTCCCAAGTAAAGCAAAAAACTTCCTTGCTTGTCCACCATCATCGCCCATCAAGAGAGACAGAACAGTAGAACGAACAGAAGATGCAATAAGAAAGGAACTCATAGTGTGAGGTTGTAGAAGGAAACATTTCTTTCAGCTCAAGGATTCGAAGAAAATATTTTCATTTTCAATAACCAAGATGTAGGCCATGAAGATAGCAAGAGAAATGACTTAATAATGTAACATTCGTTTGAGAATAAACAAAAGACCTTATTTTGCTTGACTTAATAATGTATCATTCATTGCACCAGCTTACCTAATCTTATCGCCAAAAACCTTGTTTGCCAGTCTAATATTTCATAATTACAGCTAAAAACTTCTAATCAATATGAAATTCTTGTTATAATGCTAACTTGAAAAGGACTGATATTAAGCACTGGAAACTGTAAACTTTTACCAAGCGAAAGTAAGAATAAACAGTGAAAGGCAGACCTGCACAAAAACCCCAGGAGAAAAATCTGAAGCAATGCCATCTTTGCCAGCTAAATCCACCATCTTCAGGATGTTTATCACAGCTGGACGAGTCTGTTTCCAAAGATGGAATATAAATGATCCTCTATTAGCATCTGTATCAAGCAAGCAGCACTACCTAACATAAAAGCAGAAATGAAGTCCGGACAGAAGTGAATAGAAACTTCCTATCTTACTTTTCCAGTAGCTATCACCACCTTTACACCCCTTGATGTTGCTTCTTTTAAAGCTTCCGCATTTGACAAGGAAATTTGACTTTTGCTGTTGAGCAGTGTGCCTTACATTAACAACATGAATTCATATTATCGAAACACTAATAAAATGTCTTTGCAGGCGTGTGACACGTAGATGCAAAGTGGTAAATAATACTCAAAAAGCATTATTTGCACTATCTTACCATCCATATCGCAGAAGATATAGCTAAATTTTGGCTTGTAAAAACGAAGACTGCCTTCTCTTCTTCTGTCTTTTCAATAAACAAAAAATGAGAATTTCTCTATGATCTCACGAAGAGAACATCATCAGGGTTCACTGAAGAGTAAGTTTATTGGACAAAAGGCTTAAGACTAAGACTTCATAGGTAAATTACCATCTGCATAATCAAGATGCAAACTCCCATTAGTCTCAGCATCATGGGCACTCTGAATTAATCCTTTCCCCTTCCACCCAAGATTCTTCAAAAGAAGTTCCTCCTCCTTTTCCATTTCCTCTTCGGCCTCATCGCTTAACTCATGATCAAATCCCAATAGATGAAGCAACCCATGAACCTAAAGGGAAGAATCACAGTTCTTGGTCTAATTAATCAATGTATGGCTGCAGAGTTTCGAAATATTAGTGTACCTTTCAACTTCTATTTACGTTTTCTATCTTCTAAGAATCAACCTACTTTGAGAATAATGTATTCTTAATACATATTTGGTACATAGTATTGGATAGTATAATTAACAAAATTTAATCTCTCTTTCTTCGTAAACTGTCTTGTATTACCCAAATCAGCAACATGTTTTTATTGTTTAGTAGAGAAAAAAGTGGATGATCGTCACACTCCATACTCAAAACAATCGGTGCAAATCCTTTTATACCATACATTCCAGTCTTCCGATGACTTTCAAAATCAAGAGACTCAAACAAATGGCTAAATCCAGTAAACCACAATGCAGAAGCTTAACAAAAATCTTCACCGATTTTTCAAGAACTCATATCAGATTCTTCTTAATCCTATTGTGGCATCTTCTTACTTTTTCTACAGAACAGTTTTCATTTATACACAATAAAATTCTCGGCAAACAACAGCACAGCACCAGCCACAGAAAATGCAGAAGCATTAGGCGCCTCGTGTCTGTCACATGCCCTAAAACTGGAACTTAAGATGGAATATTAGCAATCAATAAGATTTTACAATTGTCTGAAATCCAAATCATCAAAAGTGTAACTAAAAGAGAGAAGAGAAGTCAGCAATCTTGACACATAATACACAGCACTTTTTCGCACCTTGATAAGTAGCCAATACTTCCTTTTTGAAAATAATCAGCCAACATATTAAGTATATAAAAACTGGATAAGCATCATTGAACTAACCACAAGGATTCGTATCTCATCAAGAATAGTGTGCCCTCTCTCCACTGCTTGTCGTGAAGCAGTCTCTACGGAAATTACAATATCGCCCAACATTAGCTGCAACAAGTGACAATTGTCAAGTTTGCCACACAAAATATATCATACATGCAAGAGATCAAGTTCGTACAATTGGAAGCTTTAGTTCAGGAATATGTTGGGACATTGAGAGGACATCAGTAGCGTGGTCTTCATCCCTCCATTCTCTGTTAAGTTTCCTTATGAAGCCATCATTGCAAAGAAGTACTGATAACTCAACATTCTCAAAACAACCAACATCACTTATTGACGTATCTCTTGTTTTATAGGTCAAATTAGTGAGACCATCAAATGCTAACTTCATCGCCATTGGGACATTAAGTCGAAGCATTTCTGCAATATCCTGCAAAATGTAATAAAGAAACTTAAAGGAAATTTTTTGCCCTTAAATACAGCATATACAGTATATATCATCTCAATGTCAATTTATGCTTCAAATATCAGTGTGTACACATATAGTATATACTCGGAAACAATAGCACATGAGCAATTAAGTTCAACATATGCAAATTTCCTCTTCTTTCTTTCCCATTAATCTATAACACATTATGCCCCAAATGTGCAACTTTGGCCACAATTCTTCAATGCACATAACTATGATTTGAATATACAAAAACAATCAAATGCAGCAAACATGGATTAAAATGCGTCAAAGAAAAGAACACATACATATTACTGCAAGACGTAGCCGAACAACGACAAGTAACTCACTTTGAACTTGGACCAATTAAAAAGTACTTTTTTTGAAATGCACTTATTACTTAAAAGTAAAACTTTTAAGATTAGAACATGCTTTATATCGATTACCAAAATTTCAGGATCTTCAGGCAACTGTTCTTCGATGCAAATCTTGACACTGAGCTCCAGCTCCTTTTCTTTACTCTTCCTCGCTGCGGCCGGCCTTCTGCTGCGAACCTTCCGATATTCTCTTCGTGATACCCTCACAATTTCCATTTTTCCAATTCCATTTGCATTTCCCAAACCTCGTGCAATGCTCAAGCTTCTATAATTAATCCTCCGACCAAAAATTGTGGTAGAGTCCCAAGAGGCAGACTTTACAAGGTGCGAACGAGGAAGAGACGACGTAGCGACGGTGCAGGAAGAGAGGGCACGGCAAAGCACACGCGCCGCCATGGAGTAGGTGGGAGGGGGACGGATAGCACGGAGGAGAGGCGAGATACGAGACAGCATTCAGGTGGATATTGTGAGAAAATGGTTAGTTTATGGTGGTTCGAAGATTTCACAGCCTCACCTCATTCACACAATCACTGTGTGTACCGAAGGGTTACCATAGGTGTTGCTGATAAAAACAAAGGGCAATTTTGTTTGAATTATTGTACCATGGAATAAGTGATAACTCATTTTGTTTAGGAAGCAATTTGAGTCTCTTAGAGGGAAGGAGAAAAGCAAAATAAAATGAGAAAAATAAGGAAAAAAAAAACTCATTTATTTTATATAATAAATTCTCTTTGAATGTCATTATAGATTTTAAATGGACGTAATTTTTAATCTGGGAACACTACTATCTCGATTTTAAAATGTTGAAGGTATGGCCCCGTTTGGTAGAGATTTTTTGCCCCAAAAAATTGATTTTTTGACCGTTATTTTACTATTCAAACCTTAATTTTTGACTTCTTCTATCATATATGGACCCCACTTTTCTTCTAACGGTCAAAAAATCAATTATCAAAATCCCTACCAAACGGACCCTATGAGTGCAATAAAAAGTAGGATGTATACAAGAGTACAATACTTTCGACACGACTAGGGTACAATACAATTATTTGTCCTAAATTTAAATAAATGATCTTCTATAACAAGTTACTTATTGGGTAATTTGCATAATTAGACCCAATCTTTTTTCATAATTGCACTTTTGTCTCGTAACAATTTTTTCATCGCAATATTGTCCCTAATCTCTCATGGTGACAATGGGTCAATCTAATCGAGTTAGGTTGATCTCATGCCACTCAACCCGTTAGTCTAACAGCGACCCTAGGTCGACTTGTTGACTAAGGGGCCATGTTTTGCTCGGTCCATGCTAGTGAAGGTGGATCTAGATCGTAAGCCTTTGAATTTTTTTAAATGTTTATTTTTTTTTTCAAAAAACATAAAAAGGAAAAATCATGATGCACATGCTGTAAAAAAAAAATAGTAATAATAATAATAAAGAGAGAGAGAGAGAGAGAGAACAATTTGCTAAGTCAACAGTTGCATTTTTGCAACCACATAACGTGCTACTTTTGCAACATGTTACACATAAATAGTAATGTAGTAGCATGCTTGAAATGAGGATGAGTTCGATAGACTGAGCTTGTGGTGGATTTCGGGGCTTGCCTTTGGATAATATAAAGGGGATTTCATTAGTGCCATTTTCAATAGCTTTTTGACAAAGTTGAGAAAATATTCTATAATACTTGGTATTAGAGCTACATGTTTTGGGTTCGAGTCGGTGATGAAGCATTCTCATAAAGTAGGTGAATGATACATGAGCATGCTTGAAACGGAATGAGCCTAATGAACTAATCTAAAGGTGGGTTCTTGGCCTTGATTCTATGTAACATATAGTTGATTGCATCAGTGACATGAGCTATACTTTTTGAAGAAAATGGTAGCAATACCATACATCAATCAAGTCACGTTAGCGAACTAGACCAATCTACAAACCGACTACTGAATCTAATGAACTTAGCGGTTGGCCCACGTAGTTGAAATTCAAGGTTGACTTGATTATAAGATTGCAATTTCAAGGGCTTGAGCCACTCATGGGCCGAGCCTTCAGAGTCAACTATTGAGCTGTCGAGTGGTTTCATCAATCTTTCTATAATTACATAAATCAAAACAATCATTGCTCATAGAATCCAAAAAGAAAAATAATAAAAAATAATTAACGAACGTATAGTGAGACATTTTGCCTATCAGTTCAATTAAACAAAAAACAAAAGAAACAAATAAAGGAAACAATGGGCTACGACCTAACCGTTTAATTTCAATTTGTTTCTAATTTTCTATTTTTCAACAAGAGACTTTTGGTTATGCTTCCAGGAGAGGTCCTTTGATCAAAAGCTTAATAAGGCTCCCCGGGGCACAGCTCAACTGGTGGATTAATCAACATTAGTCTTACTTCCACCCTACTTCCAGCGGTAGGGTGGAAGTTCGAATCCTGGTGGGAACATGCGGCCAAAAATTTGGTATGGAGCAATCACTTTGGAGAAGGATCTCTTGTTCGCAGAAGTGTACAGGCGGTGGGGGGAACCTGTGATCTAGTTGAGACATAACCCGCGATTTACCCCCGTCCCCCCAAGGTTCTAAGGGCAAGAGTTTTGGGGGGTCCAAAATTTAGTTTAGTGTAAGTTGGGATATCTGGATATCAAAAAAAAAGAAAAAAGCTTAATAAGGCTAGGAAGGTACTCGACCAGTCCAGTTCAGATCTAAATTAATGAGACAATGTAGCGACTAGATGAAGTACACACGTCACCATAGAGGAGGACGTGGGAGGAGGGAGGATAGGGGAGATACAAGATAGCATTCGGGGGATATTGTGAGAAAATGGTTGGTTTTACGGTGGTTCGAAGTTTCCATAGCCTCACACAAGTGTATGATTTCAATTAAACAAGTAGTAAAGTTGATATAAGATTCGAATTATCATTCTCACGAGAACTATCTATTTAGCCCTTGTTTGGAGAAAATTCTCACCAATTTTTCATTAGAAATTGGATCGTTGGATTGAAAGTGGGCCCCTTTCAGCCGTAAAAAGTCTAACTCAAAATTAGTTGAATCATAAATGTCCTTTCCAAATTAGGTGCATATGTAATTCTGTATTTCTTGGTCATTAACAGTTGTTGGTTTTTACTTTTTGACGGTAAAAAGAAATGCTAAACATTTCCTCCAAACAACCGCTTAATAATTAATCAAGCTATTCCTAACTGCTAATATTAACTGAGGAAAATAAAAGCAATTAAACGATTAAATATGATAGTTTAAACATTGCATCTCAAAATATCACAGTAGTTAACCCCTTTAATCTCGCATTAGAAGTTCAATTTACTAATTATAAATTACGTCTCTTAAGTTCAAATCAATCATATACAACTGATTCAACTTACTATATCTCTATGCGAATACGAATGAGCATCAACTTAACACATTAAATCACTTAAGAATGCAATTAAAGATTGCAACAATAATAAAAGTATATTAATACATTTTATTCAATTGTCGAAATTTACTTCGTGGTCTATGTGTACCTTACCTCTTAGTTTGTTATCAATTCACAAATCAACGAAATAGTGAACAATTATTTCAAAGAATATAAGTAAATTTAATACAAAATACAATTAACTCCAAGAATCTTGTAAATTGAGATTAAAGGTTCAAAACTAGCTACATCTTTCGCCCCCCACTATTGATTTAATTAAACATCATAATGGACGAGAAACCCAAAAGTATTTTGTAGTATATCACTTGATTTAAAGGAAAAAAGAGAAAAATATGAACTTCTTGCACTAAGAATATGTCTTCTTCATGCAAGTTACTGAAATCCTAGCTTTTTTCTCTCTTCTTCTCTTCTCCCTTGTATCTTCTCTTCTTTCTCTTGTGTGTGCGCACCTCCTTTATTTGACCTAGAATAGGTTCTTATATAGTACTCGAACCATCTTGAAATTGGTGCCTCAAGTAGAGCCAAAATATTATCGGAATAAAAAAAAACAAAAATAAAACATGGATTCTCACATCAAACGGGCCGCGGTAACCAAACTGCGACAAAAACTATTTTTAAATTTTTTTCAATTGCCGTTGGACTGCAATTTGCTTTCTGCAGTCATCACTATAACTAGTTTTACACTTTGATCTTTACTTCAAGTTTTTGTATTGTATGGGTCCATTTTATCCAAATCCTCAATTTTGAATCCCACAACTTCCAAAAGCATCCACTATGGTCCCGAACCTCCATAATCATCCAAAATTGGTCATCATCAAGTTCTAAAGTGTCCAAATCAGTCTCCAAACTATTCATAAGTTGAATTTCACTCCCAAATCCAGTGACTTTCTTCCAATTGCTTTTTTAATGCTTCTAGTCAAATCTTGTACAACTCGATTAGTCTTTAATTGCCACAAATCAACTTCATTCTAGAATCAAATCTTTCTTTTTTGCTCCAAATATCTTCATGTCGGGGTTTACCTAAATTGATAATATTTACACTAATAAAGTAGATATCCTCTCGATTTGAAAATATTTATCAAATTTATAAGTCCGGATAATCATGTAAGATAGACTTTTCGAATCACATTAAACTTAAAACCTAGTTCGTTTCGAGCAAGATTATCTACTCAAACACATAAATAAATAAAAATAAAAATTATTTTATTTTATTAGATAGCTTTTCATATTCACCTAAGGCTTTGACACTGCTTGAATAATTCATTAAAGGCTTCTAAGTTTTGATACTAAAACTACTTTTTACTTGTCAGATTCTCAATCGATTTGTCATCTGTGTGTATAGTCATTTCAATCGCCATAAGCCTTTAGGTTGTTTATGTTCTAACCCTCAATGATCAATTATTTTGTTTCTTTCTCTTAAGGTGCACCCGGAACTTGATAGTCAATCTCTTATCCGGGGTGTTTATTCTAATGTTACTTTCACAGCACACTCATTCCTTTTACACCCACATTTGATTGGGTTTGCTCGATGGAAGCAACTATTTTGATATGTGATGATTCTTCATAAATTTGTGTTTGAGGCCTTTGAAGTTCCACTAAACAAATCAATCCCTCTGGACATCGAGATCCCCAAATTAAATGTCCTATAGTGCGTTGCTTTTCTTTATTGCAAATGCTTACATCATTTCATTTTTTTTTTCTCTCTTGTAGGTATTAATTTCGTTCATCGATATACTACTTCTTCCAACTATTTATTCTCTCTACACTCTAGGGTACGTAGCTCCTCTCAAACATCGATGTTTTATTTTGACTAATGTAGGCCACTTTTTCTTACTAATTTGCCTCTTTCTTTCTAGACTAGAAAATGCCTTTTATTGGAACGAGTAGTTGAGATTAAACCTCTTGCGTATGATTAATACCTAGTTTTCACTTGTTTGTCAAAAATACTCCATACAAATATTCAATAAGCACGAAATCATTACCTATCTAAATAGCATCCAACAACGGCTCAATTACCACTCCTAAACTATCATTTTAATTGGTTAAATGGTTGTGTTTTCAATTTATAATCTTGGTTTTGGCAACGTAATTCAAATTTTTGTTTTAACATACTCTATTAGCGTAACCAACCCAAATTTTATTTAACATATTCCATCGATGTAATTAACCCAAAAGTAATAATCTTCATGACTA